AGAATCGCAACTTCTCCACAAAATCGCTAAAACACCGGCCCCACGGTGGGTGCCAACTGTCGTGGATCTAAGTCTGACAGTAGAGTGGGGGGTAGGTACGGAGAGGCAAGGTCCTAGCTATGGAGAGGTTGTAAACACAAGAGATGTACGAGTTCAGGCCCTTCTCGGAGGAAGAAAAAGCCCTACGTCTCGGAGCCCGGAGGCGGTCGAGTGGATTATGCGTATATGGATTACAAGGTGCCGAACCCTTCTACCTGTGGAGGGGGGTGGCTTATATAGAGTGCGCCAGGACCCCAGCTAGCCCACGTAGGAGAGGGTTTAAGGTGCGTTAAGTCCGGGGCATTACTGGTAACGCCCCACATAAAATGTCTTTACTATCATAAAGTCTACTTAATTACAGACCGTTGCAGTGCAGAGTGCCTCTTGACCTTCTGGTGGTCGAGTGAGTCTTCGTGGTCGAGTCCTTCAAGTCAGTCGAGTGAGTCCCTCGTAGGTCGACTGGAAGGTGATCTCTTCTAAGGATGTCCTTGGGCAGGGTACTTAGATCAGGTCTGTGACCCTACCCTAGATACATGACTCCATCAGCACCCACGCCCCCCAAGCCGCCACCTAAAATGTCCGCATATTCAAAAAAGATATATGCCTGCAGATTCAAAAAATGTTCGTCTATTTCAAAAATTGCACACAAATCCAAAAAATGTGCATGAATTTCTAGAAAAATGTTAATGAATGCCTAAAAAATGTTCACAATATTCCAAAAATATACGGGATTTATTAAAACTGTTCCTTAATTTCAAAAATGTTCATAGAAATTAAAAATAATTCACTGATTCAAAAAGTGTCCATGAACGCAAAAATTGTTCGTAAAAAAATTTGTTCACGAATTACCAAAAATTGTTCCCAAATTTTAAAAATTGTTTGCCATTCAAAATAATTGTTCACGTGTTCAAAACAATACATGCAAATTCTAAACTTGAATTTGAAAAATGTTCATGAATTTGTAAAACATGTTCGCGAATCAAAAAGATGTTCATGTATTTGAAAAAATGTTAACTATTTCAAAATTATTTGTGAATTAAAAATATAGTTCCAAATGAAAAAGAAAACAAAAAGGAAATAAAAATGAAAAAGAACAACAAAAAAGAAAAGAAAAAACGAAAAACAATAAAGAAAATACCTTGCTGAAGGAAGGTCCTAGAACCTTCCCAAAAGCGGTGAGATGAAATCTGATAATGGGCCGGCCCATAATCATATATAGCACGTAAGGCGGGGTACGCCGAGAGCAACTAGTTGGCGAGCGCTCCTTTGGGAGCCTCCCATAGATCACTGCGCGCTCTCAGCCTCACCATGTGTCGCGTTCTAGGCGCTCCCTCCGGATTTTTCAACTATTTAGTTTTCCGAAAAAATACATTTTTTTCTTCCGCGAGAGTCACGATTTTGCTTTCGCGAGAGACATGATTTTGCTTTTGCAAGAGGCAGGACCATGCCTCTCGGAAACAAAAAAACATATTTTTTATTTTTTTTCCTTCCGGTAGAGGTACGGTTTTGCTTTCGCGAGAGGTATGGTTGTGCTTTCGCGAGAGGCACAGTTGTGCCTCTCGAAAACGAAAAAACGCATTTTTTTTCCTTTCATGAGAGACATGGTTTTTCTTCTGTTTTGTATTATTTTTCCTTCCGCGAGAGGCATGATTTCGCTTCCGCGAGAGGCACAATTGTGCTTTCGCGAGAGGCATGGCCGTGCCTCCTTTGGAAACGAAAAAAGATGTGATTTTTATTTGTTTTCCTTTCGCGAGAGGCACGGTTTTGCTTCCGCGAGATGCATGATTGTCCTTTCGTGAGAGGCAGGGCCGTGCCTCTTTCGGAAAGAAAAAAAAACATGCTCCCGGTTCGATTTTTCGTCTGATTTTTTTGTCTGCTATTTTCGTGAAAAAAATGTTCGTCAAATCTATCAATATGGGATCTAGTTTTGAAGATCTCAACGCGAGGAATCCAATAATGAAAACGGTTCGAGATTTGGACGCACGGTTTCAGAGATAAAACATTTTGAATAAATGGATGTACGAAAAAGCAAAAACTCCCAGTACGCCACTTGTCGTAACCTGAGGAGATGGAAGTGATCTTTGAAAGAAGTACTTCTTAATTAGTGATTTACGAGTACACGTGGTAACGCAAAACCCTATTCACCGCGTCCTGTGGCAAGTTGTGGATTTATCGCACACTTTCGATGGTACATGGGCCGGCCCAGTTAGCTTTTTATAGGTGCGATCATTTTTCCGGTTTTGCGAACCTTCTTGAAGGTTTCCTTGCCCTGTTTTGGGAACCTTCCAGGAGGTTCTTCAACCGGCTTTTCTTTTTGTTTTTCATTCCTTTTTTATGTTTCTATTTCCTTTTCTTTCTTTTTTCTTTTTTGGTTCTCTATTTGTTTTTTCTTTTGTCCTGCTTTTTTCACCAAAATGTTCAAAATGTGTTCGCGTTTCCAAAAATTGTTAGGAAGTTTCAACAAATATTCTCACAATTTAAAAAATGTTCGCATTTTTGCAAAAAATGTCCAAAAAGGCAAAATTAAAAAAATGTTCAAAATATTCGAAATTTGTTTGCCTTTCAAACAAATGCCAGGATTTTTTCAAATAAAAGATTGTGTTTTTGTAAAAAAATATGTTCGTGTTTTACAAAATTTGTTCAAAGATTTCAAAAAAAATTCTGGATTTCAAAAGTTTGTTCACATATTCAAAAAATGTTTGTGATTCCAAATTTGTTTAGTATTTTTGAAATTGTTCTTCGTTTCAAAATTTGTTCTCATATTATAAAGTTGTTCAAAAATTCTAAAAATGTTCACGTTTTTTAAAAGCGTTTTGGAAATCCTAAATTTGTTCGCAATATCATAAAATTGTTTGCCTTGGTCAAAAAAAGTTCATACGTTCAAAAAATTAATTAAAATATGGAAAATTGTAAAGGATTTTTTCTAACAGTGTTTAGTCTTGTATTTTCTTTAGTTCTTTTTAGTGTTCCGCTGTACATTGGTCAACCGAGCTCTTCCATCGTAGTGGCTACTAGCGAGTGCGCACAAGTAGCCAGTCCTGTGATTGCCAGCCATCGTCTCCTACCTTTTTACGATTTTTTACCCTGGTATTTGCGGCGCACTGCAATGGGTCCACCCAATCGGCGCACCCTGCGTTATATGGGCCGTCCATTCTGGTTTTCTTGGAATATGGATTCCCCAAGGTTTATGTAGATCTACTCTAATTTTTGGGACACGCCATGAAAAAGGAGAGCTGGAGAATTCCCTATGACGCGCGTGTCCAAAGCCAAGAAATGTCAGGGCAGAAGTCGGCACCGGCAATAAGTAATCCGTAGACCGGAATTTCCATTAGACAAATATATATATATCAGGTAACAGATTCGACAGGGAGACAGACCACGGCACCAGCGTACAAGCGCCCGTCGCGTCCGATACCTCCGGCGGTACAATATAGCTGGGGACATGGCTCGTGGTGTGGGTCATATACACGAAGACAATGCGTACAAAATATACGGAAGATACAGCTCCGATGCGGGACTTGATTATGTCTCGGACTTTATTCTTTGTCGTAGTGCCATCATCATTGGAGAGCAATAGCTACTTCAGCTAGCTACATGACCGGATGACGATCACCATGGGGTCATGTGTATCTAGTAGTGTAGATAGAGCAGTACTGGCTTCAGGCTGGAAAACAGGCAGAGGCAGGAGGCTAGCTGTGCTCGAGTCTTGCACCAGCCCAGCGATCACTGGCTCTTCAGGTACCTTGGCCTGGAAAAAGGAGAGAATAAACCGAGTGTTAGTCTAGCTATGTTCCGGAGGCAACAGGGAACTGAAAAACTGAAAAGGCCATGGATTGATATAGGCATGGATTTAATGGCTGAAAATGAAATCCACAAAGGAAATAGAAATGCTTGGCTCACAGTGTAACAAGTCTGAATGTTCCATGTAAAGGAAGAGATGCCGACAGAAACAAAGTAGAGGGTCTTTCCAGTGAAGGGCATTAATTTGGAAATAACATATAGAAGCGGATCTATTCTAGTCTAGCTAGGGGGGCAAGAGGAAGAAACCTAAGATTGGAATTTGTCCTATACGTCCATATGCGAGAGAACAAAACATCAACTGTTGAGATGAGCAGCACTTTATGCCCGTCGAAAGGACAGCAAGCTTCAAGGGACTGAGCCCGCAAGCTTTACGCGCAAATCTTGAGCAAAAGCATGCTCTAGCTGCCTGCTTACTACACTTTTTTTGTTATTCTGGACAAATTAGTCTCCCTGCGGTATCTCCTTTTTTTGCCAGTTAAGGGCATGCTGTGGTTAAAACATAGCCTATAAGCCTAATAAAGGCGCGCTGCTTTTGAGGTTAGTTATCAGATGGACTGTTGGATATATTCTGACGCTGTCCTTTCTTCACCGTCTTTATAAGACCAACTGATAAAGCCAGAAAATAAACCTGTGTTTATATAGTGATAAACCTGTGTTTATATAAGTGATAAACCTGACAGCAGTTCACTAGTTAAGTGATTGGCTACGGTCAGTCAAATGGGTGAAGGAACAAAAATATGTTCATGGATTAGTCAAGTAACTAGCTTCCCAACAATGGTAAAGGAGTCAATGCTACTACATTTGCAAGACCACATAAACTACAAACAAAATTCAGTAGGGCAAACATAGTTTTTCCTAAAGGTCAAGAGATAACCAAATATAGCATTTGCAAGACATGTAGAGTAAGAAGGGAACAGAGAAGTCGATGCCCAAGGGAGCAGCAAGAGACCATGCATATTAGTAGAGGGAAATGCATGTATGGAAGGAATATAAAGCATCCAGTGCAAGTGACTGCACGGAGAAAGCTAGCCAGGCCGGCCGAAAGGAAGACCGCCCTTTCCCTTTGCACACACCACATTAGTAGAGGGTGGTCAATTATGTGATGATGCATGTGCACGGATGGAACAGTCCAGAACTAGGAGATTCGGACAGACTACTTACTACCTCTGCCCATGGCTGCTGCCACCGCGGCTGGAACCGCCCTTGATGTTGTTGCTGCTGCTGCCGGCACCGTTTGTATGAATCTCGTACACGTCTTTTTCCAGCTCCGCGAAGTGCTTCTTCACATCCTCCACCGTCTTGCCGTCGCCAACCTCCCGCGCCACGTTCTGCCATCTGTCTGGCGTGTCCTTGTCGTACTTGGCCAGCGCATCCTCGAACACCTTGTTCTGCTTGAATGTCCACGATGAACTCATGCTTGACTGGGCTGTGGCTTCTCAACAGGAAAGAAAACTAAGGTGGATTGCAATGACCACTGTTACTACTACTACTACTACTACTAGTGCTACTACGGTTGCTAGATCACCGGGCTTGGCTTGTGTTTGTATACAACAAGAGTGGTGGCAATGGTGCAGCTTATATAGTGGGAGGAGAGGCTAGTTGGAGAATAATGCTTGGGAATGGTGGGGGTGGATTGGAGGTGTTAGTAGCAGTACCAGTAGGCAAATCAGCGACAAGCTTGCATAGGAGCCACAAGAAGAAAGAAAGAAAGAAAGATAGGAGAGATTTTATTTCATATTTTCATTGTACGAAATGAAATGCAGGGGAGAATCTGCATCACCTCCTCGGGTCTGCTGGAGGAGGGGGGAGGCCCCTTTCATCTCTTTTTGTCTGCCTATCTTCGTTGAGACTAGTTGGTTCCATTGCTCAATGGCAGAGGCCTCTAATACTTTAAGCAGGATAATGACTACTATGATTAGTAATTACCATAGGCTAAATATACCTAAAGCACCTGCTGAATATGCAAAAATGGCAAGCTGATTCTTCTTTGGACCGTTGAAGCTTTAAGGGGACATAAAGTTATTCCTACCTCTGTTTCTAAATGTAAGACGTTTTGGCAGTTTAAATTAAACTGCCAAAATGTCTTATATTTAGGAACAATATATATTATCACTACCTATCACTAGAAAAATATTTCTTAAGTAATATTTTTGAGTGATGCCCAAATGGGTAGGTACTTCTTGGTTGGACTTTTAAAACTTCAAGTGGATTGTTATCAAACATTTAGACATACATAACTGATGCAGTACGTGAAAAATGCGCACACATCCTTACTGAGTGATATATCTTAGAACTTCTACTTGAAGAATATTTAGCACCACATAAAGCCGCAGTGCTGGGAATTTCGACGTACATTCTCTCTTAGAAAGCAAGCGTACGCTGAATGAATTTTCTTCCCGACAAAGTACGTACACTGATGGAATGTCTGTTGTATACACTAGGAACAAACAATGTGCACCATCAGTTGCAGACCATTACAATGAATTATCTGTACTACTATGATTCCAGTTTGTAAAAGCAGGACCGATTATGTAAGACACTGCCTGAGAATCAATGCACCTCTAAGGCTAGACGCTAGAGAACTGCTAGCATTGTTGTGTTGGCATTCACCCTAGCCTCTGAAGCAGAGATTTTCAAAGATCTTTAATCCACCAATGATGGAATGCTGGACTTGTATTACAGGTGTTAATAGAGTGTTTGCATGCTCTATACCACTCTTTACATGTAACATCCAAAAGGACAAGATATGTGCAGATTCTCTTATGCGACACAAAGCAGATGGAACAAACTTGTCCTCCTTGCTAATTTTCTTTATCGTATTTAATCAGGGTACTTCTCTTGACAAAGGATGAAAACTAACCCAGAAATAATTTTATATTAGAGTTGAACTAGCTCTTTTCCCCAATTAAAATAATTTTACACTAGAGTTGAGCTAGGGGGGACTTTTTTTTCAATAGAAGGTACTAGTGCAGAATTAAAAAAAGAACATGCGTCCTTTTGGTCAGAAATGATAGCAGAGTAGGTTCATCTCCCCTTCCATGAGTTTATTGGTCTGATTTCTCAGCCCATGAGGGCTTATGGATTCAGCTGATGGATAAGTGATGTATAAAATCCATATCGACCCTGAATTTTTGTCAGTTCCTTTTCGATGGCAGACAAATCGGATGCAGAGCTAACCTAGTTCTGTTTGCAGAAACTATATGATGGACAGATCGATCTAACATGGTACTCTTATGGTTTGTTTCTGATCAAGGATCGTTAATAGGTTCAGACTGTGCTCAAGTGAGACAACTAGATCTGATCCAAATCTTGGACCTACACAACAAAAGTGAAGGGACTCTGTATAGTTGCACAGGACAATGCTATATAACTGATAACTATAAAAACAATATCTACTCCTAAGCTAGCGAATTATGTATGCATTTCCACTGTATGTTGATTTTCATATACATGTTCTGGTGGCTTCTTTCCAATATTAATTAATTTTGCAAACACAATTTGATTTCCACTATTAGTTCTATGAAGTATATATAAATAAAATATGCAGAACATATGTATGAATCTACACATATGTTCTTCGGGCTACGAGGTGCATTTGAATGTTGTTAACCTAAGATGAAAGTAAATAAAAAAACTGAAGTAGAACTAATTCTCTCTCTTTTTTTTTGAGAAACGAAGTAAAACTAATTCGATGAGGGGCTAGCTTGGAATTGCAGTGATTTGTGATAATATCGTCACATAAATCTGTGGAAAAGCGAGCCTAACGCACTTCTGCTAGATGTTTTACATATCTGACAAATAGGCGTACATCACACTAAAGATTAGAGGCACCTTCTTTAGTAATACCTTAGGCCCAAAATATTCTGGTGATATATATACTGTGGTAAATTTGATTAAGCTTTCTATAGACCAAAACGAACATTAGTGTAGGGAAACCGTCATGATTCTACTCAATAACAAAGATGGGATAAGCTTGTGAAGAAGCAAGCTTATTGCCCCACCCCCCAAAAACAAACCGACCCAGCAAGAAAACGAATGCCCAGGCGCAACAAAACATACACATCAACACATACGCAGTTTTGTCTTCTTAATTTTTTGTAGGTCAGCTACCTCTCAGGCGCTTCATGTCTTTTCCTTCTTCGTCCTTGTACCATACTTCGTAATTTGAAAATTTATAAAAATCCAGTTCGTAGAAATCCCGTCCGATTCTCTGAAAAAAACTACGTAGTGTTGTAGCATACACGGAACGTGAAATTACCATGTAAGCTCGAGATGCATCAACTAAATTAAGTAGAAGAACTTACTCAATAGTCTGCGTCATTCAGAAAGTTCCATACTTTCCTTCCATAGATGCGCCTCTTACAACTAGTTTCAAGTGGCTGCAGCTTTAGTCATATTCCAAGTACAGAAAGAAGCATGATAGCAACTCCTGTGGTATTCGAGATTCAAGGTCAGAACATATACTATTGACCAGCAATTTTCGGGACTTTGATACGAAGCAGGTTGCAAAGGAAAACTATAACACAAGGAAGGTATGGTGGCTATTAATGTTAGCCATATAAATAACTCATGTTTAAGCAAACAAATTCATTTGTGGAAGATGATTTTTGTCCCTCAATTGTTCGCAAAGTTGATTTTTGGTTGCTTAACTTTTTCCGTATACCTTTGGTCCCTCATCTTTCTAAACCTGAGAGGTTTGGTCCTTCATCTTTCTAAACCTGAGAGGTTTGGTCCCTCACCAAACCCGAAGTGGTTTTCTCGCTCACATGGTCTGGTTTTAACCCACATGCCACATGACCCTACACATGCTTTTTCTTCTCATGAATCTTAAATTCCTGCTGGTGTGCTTTGAGTCGATGTGCGGACTGAAGATCAATTATGCAAAGACTGAAGTGGTAATCATGGGGTGTGATTTTGAGGAACAGCTCTGGTCAGTTCACATGAGGAACTGTGGGCTTGATTTGCATCCCAATTGACTCTAAGAAGCTTTCAATTGTTGATTTGAAGTCCCCTCAAAGACATAGTGGCCAATAAGGTTGACTTGCAAAGAATACTATCTCCCTTTCCCTTGTTCACCAAAAGAAAAACTAAGTGAGGATGTCTTTATTGCGGAACCCTACGAATAACTCTTGGTGTTCAGATCACAAATTTCTGTGTAAAAATCTTGAAATACGCTTCTCCGGTTACCAGTTGTATTCTAGCCCATGTGTCACGCGTTCATCCTCAAGCCAATATATGGCCTATAGCTGAACTACTTGTTACTAACGAACACCACAGAACTATCTTTGCACACACCGTGGTCCCAATGCACCCTATGGACTTTGACATGAATTGGAAATATTTTATAAGAGAAACTTTTTTTTTGGCTAGAATTTTATAAGAGACTTGCAGAAGAAACAAGCTTCTGTAGTTATGACAGGAACAAGAGACAGAAGTAGAGTTTTGCACCTAAGGAGATACGGCATGCACATCAGGAAAAGGTACATATGCCCGTGCTCATGAGAATCTCCAACGTGACATGCTTCAAAGTGCTCACTATCCTGAGGTACGCAGATTTGAAAAGGTGCAAACACCTGCTCAAGTTGCTTAAATTTTGCATCAACTTGGACTTCATGCCTCATGATTGGAGGATAAAGATTAAACTTCGATGGTAACGTGAGTCTTGTCGACTATCACCGAAAGAAGTAATTTTATTTGAATTGTTGATCTTTCAGTAGAGCTCTTGCTAAACCATTGATCGGAAAATATATTTGGGGAAAGCACCATGTATTGTCTCCCCATGCAGCAACTTCCATGGAATTACTCCTCTATATAGATGACACATGTATGCATATGTTAATTGCAAAATATGTCTTCACTAATGGCAAGGGCTTCAAAACAAGATCCCATTTTGTCATTCTTGATGATTTTTTTACCGCAAGTGTCATATTAATAACCAACAGCTGCCATGATAATGATGTATGGTCATTGCAAAATAATTTACATGTTTTAGGCATTATACCATGTTATGTAGAGCTAGAAAATGAGTTTTCAAGTTTTATCATCATGCAAATGATGGTACCATATCACAAAAAAAAAACCGATCATGCAAGTCTTGTATGGGTGGAGAATGTTGTTTAGTAATATGGTAACCAAGTTATTATAATTTGACAAATAAGTGACTATAATCTGGCCACGACATCCTCCAGTGACCTGGGAGGGAGTTGGAGCGGTGGAGGTGGCTAGGTTATTTGAAAGGGGTGGAGGTGGCTAAGTTAAGAGGAAAGGTGTGGAGGCGGCTCATAAAAATTAAAGCTAATTCTATTACCGTTGACATCGTCAAAGAATATTTTCCTAGAAAGTGTGTCATCCTAGGGAACCTACATTTAACCCTTTGTTACTCACTTAGAGCATCGCCATCAGTTCCCCTAAAGAG